CTGTTGCTGCTGTTGCTGCTGCTTCTGCTTCTATATTTGCTGCGGTTAGTTGAGATTTTCCTGTTGTTATATTACTGTGTTAGCGGCAGCAGCTGCAGCAGCTGCTGCTGCAGCAACAGCAGCAGCAGCAGCAGAAAAAACCACAACAACAGCAGCAGCAGCAGCAGCAGCAGCAGCTTGGTTTGTGTGCTTTTGCTGCTGCAGCAACTGACGGCGACTTCTCTCTTTCAAATGTCTCCGCGGCATATGGCTCACCTTCTTGCTGCTATACATCTCCTGGTTAGCGGCAACAGCAGCAGCAGCAGCAGCAGCAACAGCAGCAGCAGCAGCAGCAGCAGCAGCAGCAGCAGCAGGCCGCAGAGCAGATCCTCTGCACCCGCTGCAAGCAGCAGAATGCAGCTCACGGAGACAGAGGCGCAGCCGAGCAGCAGCAGCAGCAGCAGCAGCAGCAGCGCAGCAGCCACCAACCACAGCAGCAACCCTAGCAGCAGCAGCAGCAGCAGCGACAACAACACCACAAGCAGCAGCAGCAGCAACAGCAGCAGCAGCAGCAGTGGCGATGGCTCAGCTGATCCCCCTGTTGAGGAGATAGTCGTTGACGGCCGCAGCAGCAGCAGCAGCAGCAACAACAACAGCAACAGCAGCAGCAGCAGCAGCAGCAGCAGCAGCAGCATGCAGGAGCGTATGCTGCGTGTGATATCTGAGGAGTCTGTGAATTGTTTATGTGGTTTATTGTGCTGCCCTGATGCAGCAGCAGCAGCAGCATCTGCTGCAGCAGCAGGTGTATACGGTTTAGGTTCATCAGCACAGCAGCGGGAGACGCAGCAGCAGCAGCTTGCTGTTGCTGCGAAGATCGTGGGGTGTATGTACACCTCACCGCAACACAGAACCTGGATAGATGCTGCGCTAAAACACAACTGCAACAGCCTGAGTGACCTTCTTGCTGCTGAGCTTGCTGCTCTTGCTGCAGCACTAACAGCAGCAGCGCAGCAGCAGCAGCAGCTGCGGCTGCATGATGATGTGTGGCCCCGCAGAGAAGCAATTGAACCCCACATTGCTGCTTTCTATAGACTCTGTGCTACTCTCCACGATGTATACACACACCAGCAGCAGCTGCAGCAGCAGCAGCAGCAGCAGCAGCAGCAGCAGCAGCAGGGTGCGAATCAAGAACAAGGAAGTGAAAACGCGGAACAGACAGCAGCAGCAGCAGCAACAGCAACAGCACCAGCAGCAGCAGCAGGAACCGGTACACCATCATCAGCTGCTGCTGCTGCTGCACCCTCAGCAGCAGCAGCAGCACCAGCAGCAGCAGGACCAGCCTCCGTCGACTCCGCCGCAACACCCGCACCAGCAGCACCCGCAGCACCAGCACCAGCACCCGCAGCAGGAGCAGCAGCAGCAGGAGAGAGCAGCAGCAGCAGCAGCAGCAGCAGCAGCAACTCTGCTTTGTGTCGTTTTCGGGATTTCTTTGATAAGTCAAATGTACATAAAATGTGGCGAGCGCTCGATTTGCTGCTGTCTGCTGTTGCTGAGGCTTATCCGGGTTTAAGTGTAGAGACAGCAGCAGTACAAAACAGACAAAGAACGCAGCAAGCTGCTGCTGCTGCTGCTGCTGCTGCTGCTGCAGCAGCAGCAACAGCAGCAGCAGGAGCAGGAGCAGGAGCTGGCGGGCAAAATTCGCAGCAGAATGATAGGCCTAGTACAGCAGCAACTGCTGCTGCTGCTGCAGCTAATGCTGCTGCTGCTGCTACTGCTGCTGGGGAAACTGCAGCAGCTGCAGCAGAAGCAGGAGCAGCAGCAGGAGCAGCAGCAGCAGCAGAAGCAACAACAACAACAGCAACAACAACAACAACAACAGCAGCAGCAACAGCACCAGCACAAGCACCAGCAGCAGCAGCAACAACAACAGCAGCAGCAGCAGCAGCAGGAGGAGGAGATGCTGGTGGGGTTGAGGAGAGAGAAGCAGCAGCAGCAGAGACACAGGAGCTTGCTGCACCACTGGTCACCATACAGCTGCTGCCGCTTATTGAAGCTTATATATTGGTGCAGCAGCTATCGATAGCAGCAGAACTAAATATAGATGACGTGCTGCAGCTGCAGCAGCAGGATCTGTTTGCTGCTGCAGCAGAGAGAGAACAAAGTATAGTTGATCGTGCTGCTGCTGCAGTTGCTGCTTGTATAGATCCTAATACAGGTATACCTGATGCTGCTGCTGCTGCAGCAGCAACACAAGCAGCTAGCGAGGAGCTGCTGCAGCTAGCTAAGGAAGAAGAAGGAGACAATGCAGCAGAGGAGGAGGAGACAGAAGAGACAAAAAAAGAAAAAAAAAAAAAAGAAAAAACAAAAACATATGCATTTGGTGCTAGCAGCAAAAGACACAGTGAGTTATGTAGCTTCTCTATGGGTCATTCTATATGTATAAATTTATTAATAAAACAAAACAGCAGCTTGCTGTCTTCCTCTTTTTCTCCTCTTCTTTATCTGTCTCCTTTCTCTGTCTCCTTTGAGAATAAGAGACTGTACTTCAGACAAAAAATAAAAGAAATAAAACAAAACACAAAAGCTGAAACTATTAAACTCGCTGTAAGGAGACAGCATGTATTCACTGACTCATATCACCAAATACGTATACGATCAGGTATGGAGATTATGCTGTTGCTGTTGCTGCTGCTGCTGCTGCTGCTGCTGCTGCTGGTGCTGCTGCTGGTGCTGTTTGTGCTGCTGCTGGTGCTGCTGCTGCTGCTGCTGCTGTTGGTGGTGGTTCTGCTGTTGGTGGTGTTGGTGCTGGTGGTGGTGTGGTGGTGGTGGTGGTGGTGTTGGTGGTGGTGGTGGTGCTGGTGGTGGTGGTGGTGCTGC